GTGTGGCTAGTTGTACTCTCTAATGTAAAGGTGACTTCTTTGAGGCTTCGGCCACAAGTCCCTATGTCCAATTTACTAAATAAAACCCTAGGTCCAAAAGAGGCTAGTTGAATATCAAAAAAAAAAAAAATAAACAAATAGTTTTACTAAAACATTTTTTTTTGCATCACTTAATCATTTATAACCATAACTCTAATGCCACCTATACAACTGTTTTTTTCGCGTAATAACGAGCAGAGTGCAAGTCAAATTTTGGCCTAAGTTAAGTTTAATTCGGGCCAAAATTCGAAATAACACTTATGGGCATTACTACATGGAAATATGGTAACAATTTTTCAATAAACTTTGAATATACGAACCCTAATTTGATCAACTTATTTGAACTACGCATACAATTGCCAACTATGGCTTACATCTATACAAGCATACATATAATTTACATAACAATTTCTACTAATATCTATTTTCGGCTTATAACACTAACTCTAAATCAGACAAGCACTAATTTCCAAAGCAATAAGATCTATTGCATTATATATATGTATGTATATACATACATTTAATGCAAATTAAGATGGGCATATAAAACTAATACTATGTACAATTTATGAAAGTTAATATTCCTATGACCCACCTAAACCCCCTAACACAAAAAAAGGACAATACTCATACTTACCCTAACCCTAAATATTAAAAATGGGTGACTTATAAAAAATTGAATTTTATAAGCCTACGTACATTAACCTTAAGTCCAAATACGTATAATTTTCATGTACATCCATCCAAATCTGATCATCGTATCATATAGCACTACGAATTTTACTGAATATCTTTTCCTAACTACACTTAAATCTGATATTCAAAGAAAAAATCATGATAATACAATTATATATATGCCAACCAAAGTTCATAAATTGCAACATAAGCAACATAAACACCCTCCCGTTACTTAACCTTCAATAATTTTTTAAAAATTCAATTTCAACATACTAACAAACATAAATTCGTGACAACATAAATTCATGAATTGCAATCTAAACATAAACACCTTCGCATTACTTAATTTTTTGCTTTTAGCTTTATAACTATTCTTTCAAAAAACAGTTTCGAGAATCATGATACCATGACTTACACAAAGCACATTGATGTTTGTTTTTCTTTTTTGATCCAGACTCTGATATTTCGTCTTAATTATTTGAGCGAACAAGTTTGTTATTCTGATTCTCAATAGTAGACAAATATCTCTTATTTGTGGGGTGCCTCTTGCCTTTATGTTGAGAAGGGTTTGAAATTATAAGACTATTAATTTCTTGACCTATGCCTTGTTCAGATAAGTTTGAAGCAGTACTACTACTTTGTGCTGAAACCTGTTCATTAATAAAATGTTGCAGTAGGTCCTCTAAAACCTTATTGGTACCATTCATAATCACAATATTTAATGCTTTTTTACAAATTCTGAGTCTACGACCATAAGAAACTTTTTTTGAATCTGATTCCACAGCAATTTTACTATTAACTTCTTGACCACGAATTTTTTTTAATGTCTCAAATATTACAGTTGGAAGTGATTTACTTTTACTTTGTACTAGCTGGATAGTTAATTCCTGATCTTTATCAAATAAAGCAATACCTTCTTCAGAATACTAACGAAAAGGTATTAACTTTATATTAAAAAGTGCATTTTTTGATTGGATCATTATGGAAAAAAAATGTCGACAGACAAATCCAGCATATATCAAATATAAACATGTACAATAATGTGTACCGTCATCAAGTAAGACAACAAACTGTGAATGGTTTGTAGTACTTTGGATATGCTTGACCTCTCAGACTTCGATCACTACACTATCGGAACAATCCTCTAAAGCCATATTTAATTAGATCTGTGGCTCCTCATAATCATCTTTGATAAATCCCACTTTATGATCCAATTGCTGACTAGCACTAACATTAAGCTCATTATTATGTAGTAAAAACCTATATAGAAGGCTTTCTAAAATTTGTTTTCATTGTAAAGCTAATAAATTTGGTGTAAGATATTTTACACACATATCATTAATTTCCTTAAAAATTGTATTGGAAACGTGCGGAAGTCCAGTAGTAGAATTCATATTCCTAAATTCTTGTAACTTTGCATACTTGATCTCATCCTTAAGTCGCAAGTCAATTCCAGCCTGAAGTTGGCATAAAGAACTTCCTGAGTTTGCTTCTAACTTTATAATACGATTTATACATTCGACACATTGTGTCGAATGTGTATTTGCTGAAAATTTGTGCTTCGTAAATGCATGTGCCCAATATTCTTTAGTTGAATATAAAACACAATCACAATAACTTTGAACCTCTGAATAATTATTCATTAACTCCATCCAACGACGATCAAAATCAGATACTACAAGAGAATTTCACAAAGCATAAAAATCAGAAATAAAATTATCCCATCTATTATTAAGCTTTTTCTTAAGCCTTTTAACTAGATTTTGCTGAATATGAAATGCACAATGCCTAACAATAGCTTCAGGATACTCATTTGTTATAGCTACTTGCATCGCTGGATCAGCATCTGTAAAAATTATTGTTGGTTGAAGACCATTAGTGGCTAATTTAGTTTGTTTTAAGATCCATTTGTAAGTCGACACTGTCTCATCAGAAACTACAGCTGTGGCTGCAATACGACTTCTGTTATTTGAATCAATTACAATAAAAATGCTTAAAGGCATCATATATTTGTTCGTTTTGCATGTGTTGTCATTAATAATGACATCATAAAACTGAGCCCGTAAGTGTCTCTGGTCAGGGGACATCCAAAAAATCCTGGAAAGCCTATTATCAATGCCTTCAAAGTCTATCTTAAAGTACCGATCAGGATTTTCTTGTTGCGCTTTTGAAAGATATTCATATAAAGTTGAGGCATCATTTTTAATCTGAGCTCCAGCTCTGTATTTGCAAATCATATTGTAAAGATCTCGATTGTAAATTTCTTGATTAGGAAATTTATTTCGCAATATTCGTTTTAAGACAGTTGCCCCTAATTGACATTCCTAAACATAAAACTGGATCTCTTCTTTAATATTGTCAGGCACCTTATGCAAGGACGGTGAAAATTGCAAATGTAATTCTTTTTTATTTAATACGTGATTATAATCCTCAGTGAATTTATTAATGAAGACAAGATTCATACATTTCCGATATGAAGCATTCATAGTAAATTCACACTCAATATGACCAGATTCTCGATCTCAATTTTGCGTAGGGTCTAATTTTTTCTTAGGTAAGTATTTTCCACTATGTCTATATTTATATGTCTTATGAACGAAAATATTATCCTCCTTTTCAGCTCGCACTATTTTCGTTTCAAATCTCATTCTAGTTGAATAACGTTTTAGACATTGTTCGAGCATGTCAAACGAGACAAATGTCTGTTCAACATAAATTTCTTTTAGAGGACTATCTTCAGGTTCGTTATCCAAACTACCATTTTCAGATACAAGATCTTCACCCTCTTCAATTACTGATAAGTCATCATCTACTGCTATAAGTTCAGATGGAACCAGATTGATGCCATCTTCCAAAAGTTTATAGTCCACATAAGATTTGTCAAAATTATATTCATAACTTTGAATTTCAGACATCTGAAAAAAATTTCTAGGTTAAATTAATTTGACAAAGAAAATAACATTGCTGAACAAAAAAAAAAAACAAACGAAATTACCTTGCAAAAAGGGAAAAGCCTATACAACAAAAAAAAGTGCCACACGAAAGAAGCAAGATCCACACAAAAGAAAAAACTATAAAGAGAAAATAGCAACACCAATAAAAAAAACCGTAAAGAAAGTACCACGCTAAAAAAAAAAAAAAAAATTAAAGAAAAGAGCCATCAAACAAAAAAAGCCATGCGAAGAGAAAAGAGACACATGAAAAGAAATAAGAAAAAGAGCCATAAAAAGAAGAAAGTCATGCATGAAGAAAAAAAGCCGCAAAGAGAAAAGGGCCACGCCAAAAGGAAGTTGTGAAGAGAAAGTGCCACACCATAAGAACCATGAAGAGAACCACAAGAAAAAAGCCACGCCAAGAGAAAAAGCCGCAAAGAAAAAGAGTCACACCAAAGGAAAAGGCTGCAAAGAAAAAGAGCCATGCCAAGTGAAGGAGAGCCATGAATAGAAAGTGTCATGTGAAAAGTCCCGTGAAAAGAAAGTGCCACATGAAGAGAAAAGTGCCATGAAGAGAAAAGTGCCACACCAAAAGAGCCATGAAGAGAGCCATGAGAGAAAAGAGCCACGCCAAAGAAAAAAAGCTGCAAAGGGAAAAGAGCCATGCCAAAAGAAGAAGAGTCGTGAATATAGTGTCACGTGAATAGCAAAGAGCCATGAATATAAAGTGCCGCATGAAGAGAGAAGAGCCACACCAAAAGAGCCATAAAGAGCCACAAGGGAAAAGAGCCGTGCCAAAAAAAAGAAGCCACAAAAGAAAAAGACCACACCAAAAGAAGGAGTGCCACAAAGAGAAAGTGTCACGTGAAGAAGAACTACGTTAGTAAAAAAAGCTACATAAAACAAAAAAAGACAAGAAAAAAATAACTCATGTACAAAAGTCAAGCTACGTAAAAGCAAGAAAAAAGTGCCGATTAGCAAGAGAAAGATTCGTGATTACAAAAAAATAACAAGAAAAAAAAATTTTATATGTGGAATAAGCTATGTTAACACAATAAGTAAAAAAAGTTAAAAGGAATAAGCTATGTTAACAATAAGTAAAAAAAAGTTAAATCAGTAAAATTTTATACAATTGATAAGTAAAATGATGCATAATTATGACTTTATATAAGGGTGGATATTAATATCCATTGGTGTTATATTAATTTTTACTTTATTTATTTATTTATTTTAATGTTAGGATAACCTTTTTGGTTTTTAACTTTTATTAATGACTTTTTTAATAATATGATTCTATAAACTATTATAAAAAAAGGGTACAATTAGTTATATATATAACTTTTCTATATTATCTATTTAAGGAATCTGTTTAAAGGTCTCTTATCAATTGCTATATCTAACACTTTTGCTTTGGTGTTCTATTTTAAACCTTTTGAATCTGCATTTATATTAATATTATTAGATTATGTTTAGATTATTATTTTAATCTTAGAATTATTTTATCCTTAAGATAAATCTCTTGGAACCTTTTGTATCTATTTTTACAACTGATTTGATATTGTTATAACAGAACCAATACTTGTAGTCAGAGTTATATTATTAAACTGCTATGCTTTTGTAAAGTTCATTCGAATTCTAGTATCTACTTTATAGCACTTTTAGTACTTTAGTATACACTTGTTTTTTTACCAAACTCCTAATCAAGATAGTCTATATAGAACTATAACTAGTCTATTAGTATATCAGATTAGTATAATATTCTTTTTCTTCAGTTTATTTTAGTGATCTAGTTGATAGAACCTTTGAAACTTTCAACTTAAAGGTTTTTGTCTATCTGGATATTATGACATTGGTATTTATTTTTAGTAGTCTAGCTTTTACAATAGTATTGTCAAAGATCTGTATTATTTCTTTTTAAATAAACTTCTTGTTTTTTAATTTTAATAGATTTATATAGTTACAAGAACTTATTTGGAGTTTGCACTACTAATGCCAATTTGTATTCTTCTGTATAATCTGTTATACAAATGCCAGTTATGCTAATATAATTGTAATTACAGATATCTTAACTTAATCTTTAAAAACAGTTGCTATAATATAAATATAATATAGGTAATTATTCAAATTTTTACTGTTAATAGGATTTGAATATTCAACTTATTACTTAAAAGTTAAAAACTTATTCATTTTACTAAGTTGCTATATTTCTAATTATTATTATTTCTCTTAATTTTACTACAAACAAAACTTCTCTTTCTATCCAAACCTCTGAATTTCTCAAAAATACCTGGCATAAAATCCAAACTAGTATTATCAATGCTGCTACTAAATGCATTCCTAACAAAAAAAACAACAATCTACAACTTTCAATATTCATTTTTAGCTAAAGCTACTTTACTTTATTTAAATCTTAAAAAACTTAATAACATTATTAGACAAGTTAAAGCCTCTTTAGCTAACTTATTACCTATACCTATACAC